TAACGAGCGGCAGACTGGAAAATGCACCGCCGCTATTTTTGCACGCGCCCTACGCCTTTCGCGCGTTTCCATATTTCCGCCGCCTCGCCACCCCCTCCTCCTCCCCCGTCTCGCCGACGCGTTCTCAGGCTTCCTCTTTCTCACCGCTAATGACTCGCACTCGGCAATCGCGCGCATGTGCGTGAGTGTAAACGGATCGAACGGGAGAGATCTTTATCGCGCTTGAAAATTGATCGACCGATACTGAGAATTTTAATTAAAAGTGCCACGGATCGTATTTACGTATGCCGGATACCCGCTGATAGCTTTCAACGCAGAGAGAGAGAGAGAGGGCATATCTACATATGCGTCTCTCTTGTCCCGCATTTCTTTTTTTACAGTGCTCATTGATGAATAAAATGCCTGGTATTATAGCTCCGTTTGAAAATACCGACAACGCGTGACGCGGGTATAAAAGTCGAACATGACATAACAAGTGATCGCTAGAGGCACATCCGCGATTGAAATGGCCAACGACGCGATGAATTAAAAAAAAAAAACGTCGACGAATACGAGCGTGAAATTGTTAAATGTGAAAAATTATGAAACGAATTTTTACAAATTCATTAAAGGGTCATTCAACGATTACATCACACCACGAGGAGAAGGGGATCTATCAACTTGCGTACGAATTAAAAAAAAAAAACGTCGACGAATACAAGCATGAAATTGTTAAATGTGAAAAATTATGAGACACATTTAAAAACAATTATAATTTGTTTTTGTTTTCCCCATTTGACACCACCTCTTGAACCTTTCTCGTTTATTTTTGTGTCCCCACGGAAACTCGATGTTTGATGCGCATATACGCGAACTACCGAAGCGGCAAAACGATTCTGTGTAAGCCCGAAAATAAGAAAAAGGTGAAAAAAGTGATTTCTCTCATGACAGATGTTGCTCGCGTATCGCCACACCGCGGCGAGCTGTTTCTTCGCACGGGGAGAGAGAAGTATAAACGAAAGGAATAAAATTTCTAACCGCGAGTTTCTTATCCCGCCCTCCGTCTGCAATTGTTTTCCGCGTATTACGGAGCCGTGCATGCTTTGGCACATCTTTATGCGCGCATTTTTATCTCCCACACTGACCCTCGCGTGTCATCGCGCGTCAAAAATTCACCTATTTAATGCCGTCTCTCTCGTTTAAATCAATATGAGTGTTTTTGTAACATTTTTTGTGGAGATGTTTTCCCTCCTTTTCTTCTCTCTTTTTTTTCTCGTCATATTTTGCAAAATAACACGCGTGTACGAAGAATATTTGATCGGTATTGGTACATACGTATGAAATTAGCGGAATTTCGCATATATTAAAAATTAATTTAAGCGGCAAAGTACATAATGAACTACTATGTCGAATTAATAATAAAATTCTCCGTGCTTTTTTCAATTTACGAACTGCTTTCACTTATTACCAAAATTAAATCAGTCATAGACATTGCCTTTTCTTTCTCCCTGTGTGATGGTATTCGGTGAGAAAAATCGAGAAAATACACACTCAAAATTCCTGCAAAATACGTTGAAATAAAAAGATATGCCCATAAAATGGACGTTTACAATCGATCGAGCAAATTCGTAAAATAGTTCGCAAATTTTCCGTTTGCAATTCAGCAATTAATAAATTACCGTAATCTTAACGTGTGACGTGCAACCTACTTTTTTAATTTGCTCTTCTTATGATTTCGTCACGTTAATTTTATGTTTATTTATTGATCGTTAAAGCAAGAGGAAAGTGTTTGGGCTATTTTGCAGATTTACTCGATCGACTGTAAGCGCCATTTTATGGCCTAAACTAATCTTCTTATTTTAATATATTTTGTAAAAACTTTACGCGTGTATTGTCTCGTTTTTGATATTATAAATTAAAATGGCTGCGGCAAATATAGCAGGAGCAAAGGAAAATGAACACGAACTCGTATAACCGTAATACACGCGTGCATTGTCCGCTTTTGCATTGTCGTGGAGTACGTTTAATTAGAATAATTATCTGCGCTAACGGATCGATATTGAAACCTGAGACAATGAGGTAGTTACTCCAATCTTAGAACGGTAATGTATCGCGGCGCGCAATCGCCCGTATAAAATAATGCGCATAATTTGCACCCAACCGCGGTAATTGCCGAGGAAGTAATTATCAGAGGATCGTTCGATATCGCCTTCTCTAGATGGGATTAATACTTTATGAACGTAATGCGCTCTAATGCAACCTCTACTGCGAAATATAAATTCGAGCGTTAACTTTTCGAACGCCTCGTTCAAGTTTCACCCGCGATTAACCCTGCGAGCTTTTACCTTTAACAACGCCGCTACGCACGGAAAATTATTTTCTTCTTGCTGTGACNATATATATATATATATATATATATATATATATATCTAAAATACAAGCGCGTAAAAAGATATTTGCGGTCACGAAATAAAAATTAAAACTCATAAGAGGCAACGCCGGATCTTGGTTGTGAACAATTTTACTTAATATCTATGTGACGAATCGATAACTAAACTTCTCGACCGACGTTTTTGATTTTCTTTAGCAGAAATTATATACGTTAAGTTTCGTTGAAATTTAAAATTACGCAATGGAATAATTAAAAATTATACGAATATCGCATTGAATATGGGCCTACCAATCAGTATTTGATGGTAAAAAATTGCTGATTTCGCTGTGTATCCGGTAAGTAGTTCAACCAGCATGCTACGCATTAACATAGTTGCATGATGCGTTTCATGATGGTAAATCATGTACATATTAAAATAAATTATTCACGACTAAATTGGTTGTGAATAATTTAATTTAGATTGTCCTCTGTTAGCTCTTGCAGGTTTAAACTCACTTCTTGATTGAACAGGCCGAGGCAATAATCGAAATACGAGAGTACGAGAGTAGAAAAAAGTGCATCTATTAGAGGTTACATATTAATACACACACTGAAAAAAAAAGTATCCAAAAATAAAAAGAAATTTATTCGGAGAATACTAACAACATATTTATTAACCCTTTGCACTCGAGAGCTCCGGATTGCTTTCAAAAACTACAGACTTGAAATATTTCTATTTTTCCAAGATATTCAAGATGGTGACAGTCATTGCCTCAACGTTATATATCGGCAAAGCCGTTATTCATTCTTTCAGACATCCGCGGGAACGTCGAGTATTCGTCGCGGACTATCGTAATTACACGTCACGATTGGTGACGCATTATCGAGGTCTCCGTCGCAGACACATTGAAAAGGCATTCGCGAACTTCGCCGATGCACATCTCCTCGCGCGTGTCGTTGAGGCTTTATTCATCCGGTGTAAGCGGCACCTCATAATTCTGCGAAATTTGAAAGCTCCCTTTGTGAGCCGCAATGGGGGCATTATAATGCCTCATCGTTCAATACACAGAAAGAGGCGTACCATAGCACTTTCTAACGGCGGCAACGTGTGCCTCTAGACATTTATCAGGCTCTTTGTCTCCGTGCATTATTATGCCGGTCACGTGACGGAATATATCTGCCGTCTTATCTAACCTACTGTATACGTTCATTATTCGCTAGATATTTCTCGTCCTTCGCTCCCGTGCGAGGAGGAAATCAGCGCCGGTTATAGTGCCGATAGTGCGGTTAACCCGGTGACTCTGTACAGCTCGATATGATCGCGTATTTTCTTTTTACCGTTCATTCAACTTTGCCGAAGCCTCGGCGATATTCAGTTCTCTTCATGTCTATACATCATACAGTGACGTCTTTGCGTGAGTCATGCATGCATCGCGTATAGAGAGAAATCATTCAGAGGGACAGCAAATTTATTATTATATATTTTATGCTCTCTCGAAGCAAATAAATATATCCGGGTGATTTTATGTAGAATAGTTCACATCAACTTTTCTTCATGATATGATCTCAGAAAAAAGAAAAATATTGGCCTTAAGAAATATCCTATATATTCGTTTATTTGCTATTGCAGTGTAAAAATTTGCCGTCAATCTATAAATTACTTTTCTCCGTGTGTATGATACATTTTTCTTTTTACAGATAACGTATCTTTCTTCAAGATAACTCGTCAGTTTGCCTTTCGAAATGTCCCAAGTGTATGAAAAAAGACGCTTTTGTCGTATAAACATTCGAGCGATATATATATATATATATATATATATATATATATATGTTGCTTTTTATTGTTTTATTTATCTTTAACCGGAAGAGAGAGTGCAAAGAGTAAAGAGAGGAAATTGCAAAAATCGGTTGGACAGGGAAACGGTTAAAATGTTTTTATGTAGTTAAAATATTTCAATTGACTGAAGGCAAAGCGGACAGATAAAGGAATGTCAATGGTGATAATATCCTTCTCTCTTACACAAAATACACTCTAACAACACATCGACTACCGTATTGATTTCCGTTGTACAGCATAAAAGCTTACCTGATGATTGAATTACCAAAGATACGGTAAATAAATGTAATTCGAGATGCGCATGTTCACTGCGTTTTATTACATTTCACTACTGTTCCACTGAATTCCTATTGACCATCCCACCGATTTTTCAAACGTAATTCATTATACTTTGTGTATAATCTAATGAGACGCGGCATTATTGCCCGTCATCGATGAGTCACGACATTCAACGTGTTATCATACGCGAATTTATTCTCCTTCGTGTGTGTTATCGGCAGCAAGTAGCGCGTTACAAAATTGCGAGTATATTCCCGGTGAGCAAACAATTATTATTAGAATGTTATTGCATCGACATTCAATAGAATGTAACGTTTTCTATATGCAGTTGTCAACGTTGCATCAACATCGTTATACGAATAACTTCGATGTCTCGAAGAGTTTTGCAAGATCTGAGGAGATTATTATCTCCGGTAGTATTTTGTATATATCTCGCGCGGCTCTTATTGGCCGGAAATGATTTCTTAATGGTATGTTAATCCAACGTTTCATGTTGATCGCTAATGAGAGAAGGATTTGTTCGTCGTTACTTACCTTTATCGAGCGACCTGGCTAATAAGATCGTTGGCAGGATCAGGAAGACCATGTACCACGAAAGCCGGTCCCGCATCCTCGCGAGGTTCCAAGTCCTCCTGGAAAAAGGAACAATCGGCTCGCCTGACAGTTTTCGACTTACGACGCGAGTCGCGCTCGCTTTTGCTACGCCGATACGTTTACGATGTACTCAGAGTGGAATTTCATGCGGCGCGTCGAGAAAATTCATTTTATCACGCACCGAAAAATCTCTCTCTCTCTCTCTCTCTCCTGGGTGATGGTCGCGATGCGATAGAGAAAACGTGATTTTCACTCCCGCGCGGGCGCGTATCTGCAAAAACGTGAAGGCGTAATCCGCGTCTGAATATCGTTTGCGAGCCGCGGGCCGCACGAAATATCGGCGCGTCCGGCGCCGAATTTATCAGACTTCAATCACCGAGTTTATTTTACATTTTACGACGAAAAGCCTGTGTCCTCCGGTAATGTCCGTTCACCGGATTTCAGCCACGGTAGAATAACTAAACTTGTAATATGGGTTAGTATTAAGCTTTTCCGCGTTTTCGCTTTTACGTCATGTTTGACGTGACGTTGCGCAGCGGTCAGATATTGCGTGTGTCATTGTTGCGCAAAACACTGGCCACGTTCGGCGAAACGTTTATTTTGCAACCGTTTGAAGTTTTCTGCGCTGAAATTGGATCATTCCTCTAGATCTGAAAGAATCATCCGATCTTACCTCGGGAAGCTTTCGACAGTTGTCAAGAATACATTTTACTGAACTCGATTATTATTATTAAAAAAAATATGCTGTTCTTCCAGTCGAGCATGCGACAAAGAATCATCGATGACTGCCGTTCGGTTTGAGTCGAAATTTAGGCTCCATGTTAAGTTTGTAATTCTAAAAATCTTCCTTAAATAAGTTGTTTTACATACTCGTATGAATTTAACAGTCGAAACATCGGAAGAATTTCAAGGCTTCAAGAAAGCATGAAAATTCAATCTATAGAATAAGAAGATTCAAGAGAGAAGTTGAATAAGTGCCGATATCGTCAAAGTAAGTTGTTATTAGTTTACAGACCGTCCAGATAGATGTGAACTATCGTCGAAAGAATGAAAGTGGCAAAATTTCATCTCGGACGCTGTCGTCGGGTTTATTTCGGCGGGCAAACAACTCGAATTGCAAAAGCATCGGTTCGCTCGAAAATCTAAAGGGAGGAAAAGGGGAAATAAAATTCGGTAGTTGCGGGAACAATGTTGCGGACGTCGAGCGCACATATGTCGCGACACACATGATAAAGAATGCAATTCGGTCTGTAATTGAAGAGACGAGCGCGGATGAAAAGCTAAATTAAAGCTAAACGCGAAGGGAGGGCTAAATTAAAGCTACTGATAGCGCGGGACACACAAGAACGAATTTTGGCCGACACTCGCGCGAAATATCATGTACTCGCGCGCGCGCGAGCTCACGTTCAACTCGTTGAAAGCGGACGCGCGGCGTTGCTCGAAACATACACACACGTCATGTGATGTTTGTTCCGGCACGCGCAGCAATGCAACAACGTTGTTCGGCGCGATGCATCAGATCTCCGGATGAGCGCGATACCGCACGTTTTTCGAAGCGCAAAACTATTTCGGAGCGACACAGGGCGCCCACCGCCAGCGAGAAGTTGAATGCTGGCACGCACGCGCGCGCGTACGTGTATATATTCGCGGCGCGGAACACGCGATGAAAATAAGGAATGCACAGGTGAAAAAAGTACGGCAGGTGGAAAATCGCTGGCGCGCTGCTGCTAATTTCGCAGATTGCGACGACAGACAGTTGTCTAACTGACGCTTCGATTTTGGCCTATCGTCATGATGAAACGTCCGGTGTACCTCTCAAGGTTTGCGTCGTTTTCGCACTGACGAGAGACGGTAGTATTTCGACATTTGATTTGCAAGATTATTCGAGAGATATTTCTGCTTGAATTTTGAGTTACTATTGTCTTCATATCTTCGATACGTGTGTATATAATTATAACGAAGTATATAATCTTGTATTATAATAAAATATATGTATATATATAATCTTACTAGACATAATGCATTATTTTATTAACGAGAATATAATCTATTATTATGCTTTTTTTTTTGTAAACGTGCGTTGGCTCTTTCTGGCTTTTTATATATTCGACTGATTGTATATTTTGAGAATCTTATCAACATTTTATCGAATAATTAAAATATAATATGAAATAATGAGATTATATAATAATCTCGATTGTTTCGCATCGGGACGTTTTCTCAATGATTTCTTCATTTTGATGGAAAGGAACCGAATTTCCGATTGATTCCCGCAAATTCTTATAACCAGAAATTCGATTTCTTTTAACCCAAATGCGCTTGGCTTGTTCATTGTCAGATAAATCCAGTCTTCCTTTTATATTTTTTTTTTCCAAATAAGCGACGAGATCCTGCGGACCTACTTACGTGTCGCTCAAATATGGCTTAACGTGGGAATCAACGTGTTAAGAGATCCTTTAGAATTGTCACTTGATGGTGCTGGTAAGCTACGAGGTTACGTAAGACGCCGCTCCCACAAGAACTAACGCGACACCACGTCATATTACATAATAAGGAGGAAATTAAGCGCGTCGAATTGCGTAACACTCTCTTTTTTCTGTCCGAGAGTTGCGTAACTCTCGTGCAATTATACGGGCCGCACGTGCTGATTAAACTGTGTGCAGGAAGCTCGGGGGTTCGAGAAAACACGATCGTTTCTTGCAAACGTTATCCCCCTCTGATTCCGGGCGCGTTAATTGGCGCGTTAAAGTTCTGCTCACGGGACCCGCGAGAATATGAGACGCGTGCTCGAACAGCACGCTCGGATTCGGACACGCGGGACTCGGGGTGATTCCTGACCGTGAAAGAATCGTTGATATAATCAACGTTAATTGGCCCATGTTGTTTTCTGCTCGGTGTAATCTAAGCGGCGTATAATTAAAGCGCGATCAAGCATGTGACCTCGTTTAGCCGCGTCTACTGCAACTAACGCAACGAGTGACGATAAACGGATAATAGGACGACAGGGTGGCGAACATATTCGCGGAGAAATAACGGAATACTACGGAAATCTGTATTATTATGTGTTAATCATCTCTCGCTTTCTCTGCCTTGTCACACCACGTATACGACGTCGGCTTCTCGTGCGAGATTTCGGCGACACGTTAATATAACGCTTTCACACATACAATATTTCTTGAATTTCTTCTCCAAGCGCAAAAATGAGAAATTCACGAATAACGCACTAAGATATACCTCACCCTTGGATCGATGGTATTTATTTTCACATGACGACGTTAACGACGCCAAGAATAGTGAGAAATGACCGGTAAAAAGATGTCACATCTTCCGACGAAGATCCTCTGCTGAATTTCACGATTTGCCCGAGCTGAAAGAACGGAGCGTCGCTTCGTATACTCCTGATTCAAAACCGTAATGGCGGAGCCGCGGCCATTTATCCGGGCGTAATCGCCGGCGCGTCGCGAACACCGCGCGTTCATCGGACGGTTTCGCCGGACTCATGAAAACTCGGCCCGTGGGCGCGAATAAAAGTTTAAAACATCCCGCTATCCAATTCGCCGATCGGTTTCGGCCGGTCGATAAACGAATAAATTTTTCTCCGGCGCGATTAAATTCCCAGGGGGAAATGCGCGTCCCCCGGCGTGGTCACCGTGGGAGGAAGAACGTCGCGATGCCGTTTCGATCGGCGCCGCCGAAAAACTTTCCGCTCGAATCGCGGGGAAACCCGTCTTCGGTCCATCCACCGTCGGCGGGATTCCGCTTCCCGTCGTCTCGGATCATCGACACGCTCACACTCGGGCATTACCTTCGCGCCCGCTCGCGACTCGTGCCCTGTGCGACGGACGATTTTATTCGCGAGCCTGAGAGAGAGAGAGAGAGGGAGAAAGGGAGTGAAATCGCTTTCAATTTAACTCCCGGCTTTGGCGGAAAAGTTTCCGGGCTGGCCGACGCCGGCCGGTGCCGATATTCACGCGGAATGTTCATAGCGCACATACGGAACGGCAGTCTTCCGCGTAGGGAAGTGTCCCTCCACCCGCGATCGAACGAACGAGAAGCCCGAAATTATTGTGCGGCGCGCTCTCCTAAACGTTCCCCAGAGTGAAACCTTGTTTAATGGAATAATAGATCACGGCTCGGAGTATTAACGTAGCGTCAATATTAGCAAACGGACGTAACTAACGCTCGTTTGTTGACGCGCGGATTCGAGCTTCGGCGATAATTCGCGATTTGCGCCTGATCCTTGCGGCGGGCGAGCGGCGGTCGCCGCTTCGCCGCATTTAATCTTCACCGGGCGCGAATTCCCGCGGCTCGATTGACGCGTAGGGACCGCCGTCGTGCCGGTGGGAAAGGAAGGAGGAGGAGGCACACCGTCGACGGTATTTATTTAACTCGCGTGCTAACGCGCGCGAAGTTTCAACAACTCACAAGATTGTGCTTGTACCGGCGAGAGCGGGACGCAACAAAAGCCTGGGCGTTCTCGCTCTCTCTCTCTCTCTTTCTCTCTGAATAGAATTAGATTATGCCTACGCAAACTCCGCAAACGTGAGAGCGTTCCATACTAAAACACGATACCGTGCCAGATAGGATCCTCGCACGCGCGCGTTTGTAACGTTACACGCGCGATTACGAACGGAGAATCAAATGATTTTCGATGGGGCCCGAGATTATTTCCGAGCGGCACGCGGCGAACGTAAACACCGCCAGCCGCGCGAGTTACGTCCGAATAAACGCTGGTACGGCGGTACAGTTTTCGGGCTAGCCAATAATATAACTACAACAATGATAGCAATAATAACAATAACAATGATAATAATTCTATTTTATTGTGGGTGATATGTAGATGATTGTTTTCGTAAGAGAAATGAAGAAAGCGAGCGGGACAAACGCACTCAAAAGGCGAGGCGTCAGAAAGAATGCTAGTAGAAAAGTATAAAAATCCAAATTCAAGTCGGAATTGGGACGGACGAGAAGAGCATGAAATAAAATAAAGTGAGGTGGGATAAGAGAGGGGCTCAGTAATTGTACAAACGCTCAGATA